CAATTTAAATGTTTCTTTTTAACAATTAAGTTTTAGAGTAAATTCTGCAGTTAGATCTCATCACGGAAAAATGGTAAACCGTGTGTGCAAAATAATTGTAAAATAAAGAACCTGAAATTATTTTAACTCCACTGATAGTACTATAGGTAAATGATTAAATATTACATTTGCAATTTTCAATTGCAGATACAATATACTCGTAGAATACGATTAAATGTTTAATCCAAAGGAAAATGAGGAATATTAATACTGAATATTGTAATAATAATAGCATTATTTTATTTTTATTTTAATAATAATATTAATACTAAAACATAATATTTCACCAAAAAATATTTACTACAAAAGAAAAACCACGAATACATTAGGCAACCTAATAAATTCATTGTATATTTAAAGCGCGGATGTAAATTATAGGTACATCATATTACACGATGCCAATGTACATACAGACATGGGTCCGGAAAATCTGCGCGTTCGTCTATCGACGAGTTAACGGAAAAGTCTTTGAAAAAATTGCGCCGGAAGTGATCACGCGCGTCCGCTGTACAATAGCCTGTTCAATTGAAACAGCAGAAATGTGTGTGAGAGAGAAAGTGTCTGTGAACGCGAGAGAACAAGAGAGAAAGAAGAAGAATAGAGACGGTACAAAGCTCCGTAGAACGAGAAAATCTTCACGCACACGTCGAACCGTGCCAAATAATATTATTGAAACGATTGGGCGTTTTCGATAAATTTTATGCTAACCTGTTAAAATGCCGAGAATGTTACGCGCAGCAGCGCGACCTCTGCCACCGGGAATCCGGAATTCGATTTGCGCAGTGACACGCGTTACCGTATTTCGTTCCGCGCCCTACCCCCATTGTTCTACGATTCCTTGAAACTTCTACCGGATAAACGAAACCGCGGACGAAAACGATCGAACAGTGTTTCGACGTTCGATTCCAGCGATCAAAAATTGACACAAAACTACTAGGTCGGCTAAAATATCTCGTCACGTCCTTAAGTGACGTTTAAGAAAGCATTTCGTTGTGTTCCATTAAACTTCGTTGAATTGTTGCGTGTTTTATTCCGAGAACTTCTTATTGTCTTTTTTCTTTAACTATTTATGATGTTTGTTAGTACATTATAATTTATATCAGTTTATACTGAGTAATAAGATATAAGTAATTATAGTATAAAGTAAGGCGAGATTTTTTAGCTAGCTTAATGTATGATCTTCGACTTCATCTGACACGAAATTCCATTGTTATTCGAAATTCGGAGAATATCGTTAATCGAAGTTAATTAAAATTGCACGTCTCGTCGAGAAGCAATTACTCGACTTTGATTTCAGGAACGCGTCGAAACACTGCGATTTGGAGCAGCTTCCATTCCCATCGTGATTAAATCAACCTTTTTTGATTCTCCAGAAATGTCAGATTCTTCTTCGAATCAGCTTCGAAGATGGAGGTATGTAAGTACTTAAATACGTCGACACGTTCGCTGCGGGGATGATGGACAGTAGTTTCATGCACTGGCTGTCGCATTTGAATTGTCTTAGATGCAATCGATCTTTTATGTACAGACAATTTCTTAGGACTATACACTTTTATAGCTGTTAAACCTTCACTTTGCAAATCTTTCGTTTCTTCGATTTTATCTTTTGAATATTAATCGTTTATTAATTTCTTTTATTGTTTTCTTTTGTCATTATTCAATAGACTTTACTAGTACATGTAATAAAATTGTTAAAGTACGAAACGTGTAAAACAAAGTATGATTCTTACTATCAAATCATTGAATTTCTATCCAAAACATTTTTCTGCATTTCAGTTTTCATTTAAGACACCCCGTATATGACACGTATCTTTTCCACCGAATTGTTGTAACATTAAACTCGCTGTGTAGATGTTCAGTTAACCGCAGCGATCGTTTCGCGGAAACGCGGGAAAGATCGCGACGCGCCTAAAGGTGTCATCTGCAGCGAACGTGTAAACCAGAAATTAGGCTAACCAATCGAGGACGCGCGAGATGCTCGCGTGTCTGCGCGTTTCGACGAAGAAACTTGAATGCATGAAACGAAAAGTTGATTTTCCACGTGTTTTTTACATTGAAAAAGAAAATAGAAAAGAAAAGAAAAGAAAAGAGAAGAGTGTCGCCCTGTGAACTGTTGCTCGGTGAATTGAATAGTTTGTAATACACACTGTATACATACGTTAACAATGTTAAATATCGATTGTAACGAATTACGGTCCCAAAAGCGTTGCATAGTAATCTTAAACAATAAAAATTGTATACAAAAATACGACTCGAGTAATCGTTAGACTATGTGTATAGATTATGTAAACGAGAAACAGTTTAACATTAACCCGTACGAACTTGTTCTTTCGACTTGGTAACGATAGATGTCTGTCGTATTGTAATATATTTTTCGGGGGCTTGTTTCACGGACAGATGATTTGTCGATTCGAGATACACGGTGTATGTATAAATAAAATGATTATTGCGAAAGTGTGGAGCGACGTTGCGTATAATGTAAAGTATTCATATCGTGACATGGTAAAATACCAAAATGTCTTATGCCAAATGTTGTTCGTTTTAATTGCATTCGGCCCGCGCAGCGAGACTAGATTCGAACGGGTTTTAAAAACGAAAAGTATATTTTTTATACATCGGGAACGTTTGGTGATTTTCAAAGAGGATCTAAGTTGATTTTATTGAGATTGACGGTACAGGAATTAAGTAAACGTTTGATATAAATTAATGGGAATTGTTGAAATGATTTTGTCTGTGCACGAAATCTATTGGATCGATGCTGATCCGCGATCGTGTTTGTTACGAGTGAATTCCTGGAATGTGTTCCATGAATTTTGGTATTCTATCATTCACGAAGGTCACATATTTTTACAATGAAAAATTTTTCCGTGTACACCGTTCAGTCAGTCATAGTTTTTCCCAACAGTTTTTCATGTTACCATTGAAGGTAATGCATTTAAGAATGTCGCGGTGTTTATGAAGTGGATTGTGTCGGAGATCTTTAATTTTGTAATAAATTATAAACTTATGTAACTCAAGGAGCCTCAGATTTACATTGTCTTTATTGTTAAAGTGTAATATCTAATAAACTTCTGTTATTATTCATTGTACGATATATTATTTATTAATAACGAACGATAATTCTACAGGCAACAATAATTGTTATTGATAAGAAAAATTCTTGGCAGATCAATGAATGTTTCGATGCAATGATTCGCGTACACATTGAACGTTTAATCTCAATCGGCAGCATAGAGTTACGACTTCGATAATTTTATCGAGAATAATACATTCGCATTATTTACTCTTTTTTCCATATTAGTCTCGCCGATAAAGAGACATCGGAAAGAAAATGTACAATGGTAGACGGGGTTGGATAACTTATCAGAGAGGATTTGTTTTTGCTTTGATTTACCTTAAAGTTGATTATATAACATTAGCTAAAAATCACGGTATTATAAGTAAATCGACATTGTGGTATAATTTCAGTTCGAAGAAAACAGATCCAGCAAATTGTCATTAAATAAACAGTTCTCCAAACGACTTCGAAATTTGTTAAATTTGGAACGCGAATGTAAGGTTTGAAAGAGACAAAGACGTTTTAAAATAAATCTGTTTTTGTGAAATTATCTATGATACCTCTATTCAACCAGAAACATTTGTTAGAAAAAAGATCATCATTATCTACATTATTATTTTCATCACTTTCAGTTTCTATGTAATTTCGTCTATAATTTATGCACACGTGACCTTCATGGTAATTACCGATTTAATCGTACCGAAGTCATTACTTCACTATGATCGGAATTCGTTCAGTCGTACAATGGAACGCACGCGTAGGACATAAATACTGTCAAGACTAGCATTAAGAAAACAAAGTTCCATTAACTCTCATTCTGCTTTTCGTTTGCTTTGTTAATATACCTTGATTTATACTTTCCAAGCGACAATTCTTTCTTAAATATAAATTCTGTTAATATCATTTTCGTTCATCCTTATACGCGAACATTCTTATTTATTACTTTCATTTCAAATAGACCGTGATCAACCTTGAACACCACGTAATTGCTACAGGAAGAAGCATTTATTCCTAGAAGAAGAGAAACCTTATCGAATACAAATTTATCCTCGAAACTATTCATCTCCAAAACCTGTTATTACGTGCTTTATTGTTATTATAGTATACCTTAGGGAATTCATGGAAAAATGAGGAAACCACAAAAGAGGATATTTCATTTCAAAGCTTAGTAAGAGAACATAGAATAAGGAACGATAAACAACAAAAAATCCATTTATTGAAGCAATAAGTTTATAAAAATGTCAGTGTTCCTTTATGACGAAGAGTTAGTCGTAAAAGACGTAAATAGAAACAACAATAACTCGTATTTATCACGCATAGCAAGATAAACGTAAGCAAAAGGTAAACAGAGGAAACATATAATTGAAATTGACTCTGATTCGGTTACAGAGCGATTTTAGTGCTTCACCGAGAAATCAGAAATCTCGCTCTTCATCGCAATTATAGAACCAACTAATCGTGCTCCCATCCCGCGCAGAGGAAAACGTGGATGCAGATTGCACTGATTACAGATTGCAACACACGACTAAACCCAACAGTCTACACCTTGGCGCCGAAGACTTTCTCGTTCCGCGAGTCTCCCACCTCGAGATACATAGAACGCAAAATTAAAGGCTAGTTCAGACTGATAGATCTTGTCTGTAGACTGTTCACGTGTATTGTCTGCCGATAGTCAAACAGCGTTGTCAAACAATGTATGTAAACTGCCTCTGAAACAACGTGACGCACTCACATCGAAGTAGTGTCTCCAATCATGTCTATGAGTAAAGTAGTTGTGTAGATTAATATCGCAATGTATGATGCACGTATATTCCGAAATTTACACAGAAATAAAGAGAAAACTATTCAATAATAAAAAACGAGACTTACGACTTTAGTTCAAGCTTATCAGGATGAAAATGGTCTTCGAGAAGTAGGCTTAGAAAATGCACTATGAAGAATATTTATTGCTTGCAGACTGTGATCAGATTGAACTATGTATCTGTTATCACATTTCTGTCAAAATACGTCTCCAGAGGCTATTAACATTTAGACAATCACCTAAAAAAACCTAAAATTATAACCTTTTTCATTCATTTTGATTGAACTCATTCAACAGATTTTATTAATAACTGTGTTTTACAAAAGCAAGAAAGGTATTTATTGAATTTTAAATATTTCTAGTTCAAGGCTTACTAAATATCAAAAGAAAAAAATAAACAAAATAAATGGCAATTCGTTACTAAGGGAAAAGTGGGAGATCTCCCCATTCGTTTAACCAAGTGTTAACTTCTATTCCAACGGAGAGCAGAATGCAGGCCAAAAATTTGGACTGTTAAGGTTTTGTATTTTGTCTCTGACTAGCTGCAGGTGATCGACTCCTGGTCTGAATTAGTCTTTACATTCGCACGTTCAACTGGTCGCTTACCTGTAATGGTGCATTTAGATCAAACCAACGAATACTCGTTCGTCCCCACTTCAGTAAATTCATGCAAAACGAGAGCTGCACCAATGGGAGTAAATATTTACACTGGTGCTATCGAATAGATAAATAGATGAGCTTTTATTATCGAAACTATGAGAGTGCATTTATTGAGATCTCAAATAATTTATATATTAGTTTGAGTGTGATTATACGAATCCATTTAACACTATAACTATCAAGGAGTTAAACTGACTTTTTGAAATTTCAGTACAGAAATTTCAAGAGTGCATCTATTGAGACTTCAATTGATTTATAATTCAGTTCGCGCATTGCTAAATCAATTTCTTTAATCATTTCTCAGAGCAACAGCTGTTGCCTTTTTAGTAATTGCAAAATGAAGAAATGAGAAATGAATGATTTTGACCTGTCTGATAGTTTTAGTGTTAAGAATCCCCTGAAAAAGTAACCGTATCTTTTGTCAATTCTTACAAAAAGGAAACCAGAAATAAGTGACTTTGGACCGTTCGATAATCCTGGCGTTAGAAAATATATGAACTAAACACATGATTAAGATAATCTAAATCTAATAACTGTTAGATTAACATCATTATATAAGACCAACAGAGCTGCATAGAACATAAAGTACAGAAATGTTCACAAAAATATCAGCGTTAGTTTCAACTCATCGAAACCCTTAACCTGTCAACTGTGGAATTTAGTTTGAAAAACCTCTCGTTTCGCGATGAAATGAAAAAATGAAGTGCGTATTTACTCGTCAAACGCAGGATGAATGCACCTAGGGCGTATTTGAATGGAAAACCAAAACAAAGCAAAGAAGAATTACATGTTTATCTGAAAACATAAATAATTCATCGCTGAAGAAATTAATATCATTTGAAGCTTTAAGATGACGTGTATACTCGTGAAACGCAATTAACTGGTTAAGAGAATCAAATATCAGTTTCAACTAAGCCCTTAATTTCCTAACCCACTCCAGCAAATTTGTTTCCACAGATCCGTCTACGCATTAGTAAACACAGATTACCATCTACCTCGCATGGACGAATGCTCGATCGAACTTGAATTCTCCCAAAGTGGGGATCGAATGTTCGATGAAACGCGCGAGACCGCGGATCGGGCCGGTCAAGCCAATCGCCGACGAAGCACACGCCTGCGCGCCGAATCGGTTGCCCGCGGAAAATCCGACTTGCCGCACTCGCGCGTGCGCAAGCGTTTCCGTGTATCGTCGTCGATCGGCTACGACAATGATGAATGACAGGACGAATCGATTAGATTCGGTAGCGTCTATTACCCGGTGTGAATCACGATAAAATAAAAACGGACCAGCGATAAGAGCGAGTAAGCATGTAGCGCACGGGCGGCGTGTAGCCGATCGCAAATGCTTGGCGCAAATAAGCCGATCTTGTTTAATCACGAATACAGATAAAACAATAAGCAATGACGCCGCGGAAGGCGCAGTTCGTCTCGAGTCGAGCTGGGTACGGCCGCGCGAGAAACTGGAAACGACATTTCCGCGACGCTAATCTGCTCGTTCTCGCGAACACTGACGAAGAAAACACTGGACCACGGCCCCCGATCATCGAAATAAGAATTGCAACCTCGTCCCATGAACGACGACGATTAAATCGAGATTTAACGTGGTTTCATGCTGAATAGAAAAGGATCTCGGGCCAAGGCATCTTCAGGGAAGAATTTCGAGCTTTCGAACTAGATGAAAGTTGGTATCGTTTCTCAGTCGTTCGAATCGAGAGGCACGAAATCGAGATAATTTTTGAAGAATAACCATGAAGGTGACAGGGGAGAAGGAACTGAAGGACGTGGTATGTACGAAGTATTCCTTGAAAAACAACGAGAAGGACAATGATAATAAATTATTGGAAACAAAAGTGTACAAGAAGAGATGGGTGATACTCGGCTTGTTCACTTTGTACACGGGAATGAGCACCTTCCAGTGGATCCAATACTCCGTGATCACGAACATAATAACGAGGTACCCGCAATTTTTCTATACGAGATTTGTATTTGCAGTCACTATCTACTGTTTAGCGATGGAACTGCGCGTCGCTGCGTTATTCCTCGGCGTTGATTTTCGCTGCTTTCCTTTAGCGATTCATGTCGATGGTACACAGATGGAGAATTTATAGATTTGTTTAAGTAATTTGCGTCGAAGAGATTTGTGTTCTCGGTCAAATATAGAGTATCGATAAATGCCAATGACAGTTGCGTTTTGTAATCGTTGATGAATAGATTAATCATTTCGGTATAGAACTAATAATGACACTTATTCTGTAATGTGAAATATTACTAATGAGTTACTGAAACTTAATACAGTAAAAACTTCGCATATTTATCATTTAATTATCGATTAAATAAGTCAGGCTTGAGATCGCTTAATGCAACAGAAAAATACATTAAGTAAAATACTTTTATATCTAAGAAAAAAAGTAATTCTACACATGCTGGAGTGAGCTACAAATTTTACTCGTAATTATTTAGAAAAGAACTATTGTAATTGGAAAACTAGACTGTTTTATTAAGAAAGAAAGTATTCTAATTGAAAACTAGACAGTTCTATTAACAAAAAAATCTTTTAAAATAAAAACTGAAGTTTCATAAGATTAAACTAATTATTTAGGTATTACGGAGTATCTTCATTAACCGTCGACTGGACGTCGATGGCGTTCATGGGATACTACGTAATGTTCTTCCTGCCTGTAACCTATATCATGGATCGCTGGGGACTCAGGTGGACTAATATTTTAGGAAGCGGAATCTGTTGTCTCGGTTCCTGGATAAAAGTTCTGTCTGTCAGTCCTGACAGGTTTTACGTTACCTTCATTGGACATTCCCTCGTCGCTACAACTCAGGTTAGACATAAAACAGTCAACTTTACTGGAATTATTTATTTCTCATTCACAATATATACCGTGTGCTACGTAAATAGAAGTCACTAAAAGAATCGAACGGAAAACCCATTGGTAAATGTATAGCGTATAGAAAGATTCACTATCCCATCGATTTAAAGAAACGCATCGGATTAAAAACTAAAAAAAATAGAACAAGACCGAAAAGTGCAGTTTAAATACTGAAATATCACTTAAAAGTTACCAAATTAAAAGTTATCACCACAGCTTTTAATCCAGACTAAAAATACAAACGTGGAAAACAAATAATAATTTTATTAAATAGTTTACAGACCAGTTTACAAAATTTTTAATTTGAGATACCTATAATTTAATATAGATTCAAATATGCAGATAATTATTTTCGTGGCATGAGATATGAATAAGGAATCCAGTAATTATGCAATGAAATCAGATTATGTCAGTATGAGAAGAGCAAGAGAATATTAATTACATGATAAACTACGTCTGTAACGAGAAATTATTTCCGAAATAACCAGTTGTGATTATTATAGAATCAATGCTGCACATATAATTTTTAATCTTTTTAATGCAATTTAGAACTGCTTAAATTAAATTGTACATATATACATACGAATACTAAAATTTTCTACTGTATATTTAAAAATGCTAAGTACGCTCACAAATAAGTACAATCGAAATGGATCCGCGAAAATGTGTCATAAATTTCTGCTAATGCGGGGAATTACAAGTCTAGTCGTTCTTTATGTACCCAGAGCTTAAGCTGGAGGTACAGTATCGAAATAAGAGTAACGTCTCCGTGGAGGATTTACGTATTTGCGTTCACTGGATGGATTTTGACCATAAATAAAATCTGTCACTTTACTGTAAAAATGATAACACTCCTAATTTGAAGAATTACAGAACCGCAAACAGAAAGTTAATTATTCGATGTAACCTGTTCTTTTTAAAAATCTAATGATGTTGATGTTCATCCGAGACGAACATTTGTTCTTACGATATGAAAGGCGGAAAATAAATTATAAAATATAAAAGACATTGCACGAAGTATACAATATCCAATAATGAATCATTATTTACACCTTATATGGAATTTCTATTTTAAATGAATATTATTTTATAATAACAGGTGTAATATAAAATGAGCTAGAAATTACAAGTGACCTTGTATTAATTTCGAAGTATATGCACGATGGAAATAATTAATTAACAGACTTTCGTGTCGTGTTAGACTGTAGTTCAAGTTTTACCCGGACGTATAGCGGCACAATGGTTCGATGCCAATGAAGTATCCACTGCCACATCTTTAATCATTTTCGGCAATCAGATGGGAATTGCCTTGAGTTTCCTTCTGACTCCAATTATCGTCAAAAATCGTGAAAGTCTGGACGATATTGGCAGGGATTTGTCATTCCTTTTCTGGATTGTCGCTATTATCCTCTCGATTGCGTTTATACTAGTCGTAATACGTAAGTCTATCAGCAGAAAAAAATTATTTTTATTATTTGTAAGTTACAAAATTCACAGAATATCTGAAAATAAAATACATAGAGGAATATATAGAGAAACTATACATATACTAAAAGGTGGCAATAAGCTTGATGTGATTTTAATAAATGATCTAATGATTGATTTTATGAGGTGATGGTCTAATGAATAATTTAACCTGTTAATGTTTAAGTTGAAATTCAACAAATGAAACATTGGGTATTATAATTTGAAACTTTATTTGAAACACGTCATAACTTCTGCAGCCTATATTATTTAGCAAATTGAACATATTATTATTATTGATATTATTAATACATTATAATTATTATTATCATTATGATTATTATTCATTTTAATATTTTATAACATTTTATTTTATTATATTAATTATAATATTAATAATAATTATTATTATCATCAAACTATTATCCTTTATAAAATTATCTTAGTGTTCGAAGATGATCCAAAGTTGCCACCAACTAAAACACGAGCACTACAGAAAATTAGTCAAATGTCGGACGATGAAGGTTTCAAGGGTCCGTTCAAAAGGCTTGTGAAAAATAAATATTTCGTGTTACTTTGCAACACATACGGTTTAAACGTTGGTGTGCTAAACGCCGTAGCGACATTAGTCAGTCAAATATACATCGCACATTTCCAGGTGAGCAGAAAAAAGATAGTTTAAAAAAAGATTCAACTAAAGAAACACATCAAACAGCAATAAAGAAAAACAAAATGTTTAATTTCATTCACGTATCGTGACGTATTTTCCAGAATGGTGAGGAAGACGCCGGTAGAATCGGTTTAATCATGATTATTTCTGGTATGATAGGTTCTGTCTGCTTTGGAGTTATTATCGATAGAACTCATAAATTCAAGTAAGAATTTCAATTATTAACAACTATTAAAAACTACCACTTTTCACGGCATTTATGCGTGATGCGAAATTCGCTGTTTTACAAAACACTAAACGGTGGTTCGAGTAATACAGCGAATAGAATTTCATTATAAATAATCTCCGATGTTAAATGCTCGTGTATTTTTAGGGAAACGACAGTTACCGTATATTTCCTTACTCTATGCGGCCAAATTGTCTTTGCTGTGAGCATGTACCTCGAGAACAAGTGGATGGTGCACCTCTCGGCAGTTTTCTTAGGGTATAAATATTTAATAATTCGTCAATCGTCATTTCTCTTTAATTAGACTATTACCTTTAATCTCTTCACTGAGAAATGGGTCACAATTATCGTTCACCGTTCAAACGTTTTATCATATAATTGCATTTTCATTATCTTTCATACGTTTAATTCTCATTTATATCAAAATCAATGTTCAAAGAAGGGTGTTAAGAATAAGTGATTCTTAGGCGACCTCCGAAAAAAACAATTTTCTTATGTCATAATTCTTTACACCTTAAGGAACAAGAAATGTAAGTTTCATTATTCCGGGAACATCAGGAAAGTCATGAAAAATCCGGTTGACTTGTTTCCCAATAATTGTTTATAAACCCTCAGAATTCACATTTCTCGTTCCTTAGGCTGTGAAGAATTACGATGCAACAAAGTTTGTTGTTTCGGAGGTCGTCCAAAAATCTCCTGTTCTTAACACCCTCCTTTACATTTGAAATCTCGAACGCTGCCCTATAACCTCCAGGTTAAAGGGTTAGGATTAGGATTTACGTTCAAAAGAGTTCGCATTCGCAGTATCTAAAGTACAGTTATTCTTCGCAGGTTCTTCATGTTGGGTTACGTAGCTTTGGGATACGAGATATGCGCGGAGTACACGTACCCCGAATCGGAAAGCATAACCGCAGGGATTCTAAATGTGGCCAATAACATTTACGGCATTATCCTCGTTCTAATAATGGGTGAATTGTTGGAACTTTATGGAGACATTCCGGTGCATGTGGGGCTCTGCGTCGCGCTTTTGATTGGTTTTATCATGACCGTGTTAACGAAGGACGTGCAAAGGCGTCAAGATGCCAAGAAAGGGGTCCATTATGAGGGGATCAGTCAAGTGGATACGAACATTAACCATAACGGTCGTGAAACTAATTAAAACGCGTTCATATGCAATGCAGCATCCGTCGTTCGTCAAATAGACATTTAATTGTCACGGTTCTTTGAAACGTGCGCATTTTTATATATTTTTATATAGAACATTACAATCAACAGCAATAGTAGCATCAATAATTTAACATGTGACTTTCAACGAATTTAAGTGCAATTAGGATTTCTTACTTCAGATTCTCGTGCCATTCGAAGTTCATTGTAATTGCATAATTCATTGAATGAATTGCAAGTTAGTTTCTCTGGTTCTTGTTGTTTCGTAACTGTGCTCCCTCATCTACTTTATTCTTCTGTTAATTATGTTAATAATTCGCCAGGAGGTGAGAGAACCGCAAAGCTGAAATACTGTTTACGGGGAGATAGCATTTCCGTTGGATTTAAGCGAAACAAATAATATCGTCGGTTCGAAATCATCACAAGTCTGACTAGTTATTATAAGGCAATGGGTTAATCTTGTTTCTTCTTTCGAATGTTACATAGAGTATTTTAAACGTATCGTTGTCAGAATATGAATAAAAGCAGCAAATTTTTATAAGACACCGTTGTATTTTATTAAGAATCTTTAATCACGCTAAAAGTGATCAGTATCTAACGAGAAACCTGTTTTATTTGAAAGTTTATTCATCGTTCCGTTACAAAAATATCGGTACCTATAAAATCACAAGAAATGATATTTCAGAAAATAGTCGCCTGCCATCGTGTTTTCTTATTAACTCGTAATAGTCGAAGGGCGAAAATTTAAAACATTTTGCTTTCATTCTTATGTACTATATTTATTACAATTTGAAATATATTTTCTATTATATCTTCCATTCTATTATATTAAAAATTTCATCAATATTTTCTCTACATTTATTCACTATTCTCTTGGTTCATAGGTCTCATAGGTGAGTATCACTAAAAACTTATCAATCGTTAAGGGTTAATTATCAACTAGTCTCCTAAGAAGCATACAGATGATAAAAGAACAATATCAAATATACATCTCTCGACGATGTGTCCACTGTAAACAACTTCTCCTAACCTTTAAATACGGATGTGCGGTCTCACAATCCTCTGTAAAATATCGTAAATTTTGCAACCTTTCAAATTTTCATTATATAGTTGATACTATTGCTATGTAGAGATATTTAAGTAAGTCAAAATAAAAATAGAATACATTTTTTTATTAATGGCTACGAACGAGAATATTTAACATTAATCGGTAATTTTCAGACTTCTATACTTCTATACTAAAGATTAAATTCACGTCTATACTTAAAGGTTATCCCTTTGCGCTAGAGAGGTGACTCCCAGCCATCACTAGACTTGATATAACAAAATTATAGTCTTATATATAATATTGTACTTTGTCTAATTCATCGATGTGTGAAATATTGAAGTAAAATAGCTTTGTTTCTTAATTTAAGTGTGTTTTCTCATTGGTTAGTTTCAAAGAATATCGTTTATATCTCATCAAAAAATGTTGAATATTTCTAGTGAAAAACTTTCACCTGCAAAGGGTTAAAAGCTACACCCCATGTGACCATAATGCGTTAACAAAGTTTATTTATAACTTTCTGCGAAAATAAATTGTACCTAAACAGTTGAATAAATTAGGAAAAGAGTCCCTCGAAAGTATACCTACTTATTTGTCCGAATTCGCTAGTTCTCGCGCAGAATGATCGCCGGATCGAAACAATGCGCGGTATTGTTTGCAATCGCGGAAATATTTCCAGCTGTCGGACGATTACTAGAATATCGGTCCGGGATAGAGGGAAACCCGGTCCTTTTCTCTCGGTTTCGATAATTCTTCGGCCGCGGGCTACGCCGGTAAAAATAGATGAGAAGTGAATAATGTCTCGTCTGAACGTCCGGATGGAATCTCGCGTAGCCGTTCTGCGGCCGACAGATAGGAGTGCCGGCTTGATCGAAAGCGCAAAATATAATAGTCCGCATTGGGTACTTTTGTTCTCTGATCGGGTATATCAAGTATTCCGGCCGAGTAACAAGTGGTGCGCACGTCATGTCACGTGTCAGAAACAGGGCGTTACTATACCCTCGGTCTCTGCACCTTTTACCAGAAAACAAGGACGAGTGTTCCTTGTCGATGAAAAGTCCCATGCTTCGCCGCTTTTCGAATCCATTGTCTTGTTTGGCAAGATTTCAATTCACTCGGCGGAACGGGAATACGTAAGAAATTCGGTCGAAATGCTTTCATACCGCGAAATCAACGTCAATGTCCTTCAGTGCTGGTATTTTCACTTATTTATGCGAAGTTCACCTTCATTTCTGTTTTATAATTGTTTCCATTTACGAAAGATTGGTTTATAATTGAAAAACTGTTTAAAATTTGTATTTTTATGTTTTAACATCTATTTGAGATTTATATATTTATGTTTGAATATCTATTTGAGATTTATTTACTTAGATTTGAACATGTGTTTAAGATTTGTATCCTACATCGCTGCATTAACGCTCGGCACGCGTTTATGATTCGAGACAAATAAATCGAATGTAACAATAACACTGATATTTAATCACTGTTGCTTCTATGAAAAGTAATCTGTGAGTATGAGAGGAATTTTGAAATGTCACAAGTATTACAGGAACGATTATTAAATTTTAGCCGAATACGAGCACGGCATAGAGGAGATGAAAGATTTTGTTTTTTTTTAAACAAAATTTTCCTATTACCATCGACAGGTCAATTTAAAAACAAAATCGTACCAGCAGAGCTTTATCCGCAGTCCGTTAACCGTGTTTGGTTTTTTCCGTTGAATGTGAAAATTACAGCGGAAACACATGTTCCACGGAAAAATGAAACCGAAAAAGCGCAACAATTAATCGCGAACAAAAAATTTCATTGAATTGGAAAAATATGGTTTCTTACGCGTGGTTGATTTAATGAAACAATAAATCTTGTAAAATACAACAGAACGTTTCAGATTATTGGAATTTAACCCATCATAAATACCAGCCTTTGATATTTTCTTCTGCTTGAATTATATAAAGCAGTCAATTTATAACATAAAGTTCGGTACCACGTAATTCTCACTCCTCGCAAAAATAACAAAACATAGCAAAGACTAAATCGATTGAAAGGTACATTCAACAGAACGAAAGCTGTTTCTTCATTTATAAAAATTTCATCCTACGATGATCACGGAATTGAAGTATTTTTAATACTGAACGTTCCAACATTTTGTATGTACCAACTTCTACGATAACCAGTCAAATAATTAGTTACAAAATAAAAGCAAACAAGTTAGATAATAAATTTCTGTTGGTGGAAATAGAAACAAAAGAAAAGGCAAAAATTCAAAAACTGAGTAATCCGATAATATAGGAATCGGTTTAAAGTTAAATAAACCTACCATAACTATATAGTCAAATAACTAGTTATAAAGTAAGGGTAAATAAGTTAAATAATAAATATTTCTTACTGAAAATAGAAACAGAGAGAAAGATAAATATTGAAAAACTGATTAGTCGGATAATACATGAACTGATTTAGCACTGAACGCACCGGCAATTCAGTTACCAATCGTATTTTTGCAAAAGGAATATAGGTGATTGTTGATTTAATACAGAAACAATGCACAAAATAACTGTGGGATGATAATTTTTATTTGAAAGTACCGGTCATTTGATCATTCACGGTACGTTCAGTATTAAATCATAATTTGAAACCGGTCGTAATATGTTTAATGTTAAGAACAATTTCTATAATAGTCACTGAAACTAACATTTTCTCGAAAATTCTGTCACACGATGATCGTGCGCAGGCGTTTCCCAACCCTGCCTGGTCCTATTTTCCAGCGTCCAGTCACTTCTTAGGAGACCGTGTCAAACGCATCTGCGAAAAAAGATATTGATCTATTGACAGCACAAACACATTCGATTGGGGACGCAAGGGTGGCCTTCGCATCCGTCGAGATTGCGATTATCACAAAGGGACTTATGGATTATCGATAACGGGCGAGAATGAAAAGCGGAAACGACAGGTCACCACAAATGGACTGGAGTGGACGCGATGGCAGCGTAGATCGATAAATTCCATTTAATTCATTCGGGCATTCGCCTGTCGGCGAAGATAAATGGGGAATTTTTGTATAAATATTCTCCGCGCGATTTTTAGTATACACACACACACAAACATCAGCTTACAAATATATTCGTACACGCCAATACAATGATGGCCAGTTTCATTATATATTTCCCAATTTAAAAACATATATGTTCACCCCCCTCCCCCACCCCCTGCGTTTGTTTGTACTTTCATGTTAATGCAGATGAAATTCAATTTCCCGTTAACTCGACGTCTAACTGACAGTGATATTAATTAACCCTTTCTGGGATTGCAACGACACCTGCTCGGCCTAGAAATTTATAATTACTCTTACAGATGCTAATCCACGTTCGATTGTTTCGAATATAGGTGTGATGCTTGAAAATGGTGACTAAACGACTTTGAATAGTCGTTAACATTGTACTGGACGATTGAAATTGTATTTTATTAATCGAGTAATAAATACTTTAGAAAATCATTATTTTGAGACAACGTTCATCGAGACGATTGCAAAATCATATTCTTTCTCTCGATAATCACGTTCTATGAATTACGCGATGCGACTATACAAAGGGAATACTACATCACTTATTGTTAGAAAGTAATAGAGACGATTTCGTAGTCATTTCGTGAACTGGCAGGTCTTTTCTATTCATTTAAGCAATGAGCAATTGAGGTGAACGAAAATTCTACGATAACAAGTAATTATTTATATAAAAATTATTCTTATGTTATTATTCTTATGAGAATATTAGATATACTAAGAATATAACTATTCTCATATTATTCTCATATTATTAATAATAATAAAGTTATTATTCTTCCAGTAATAATATAAGAATTGTAAGATTCTATTATATAATTACAACGAAATAATATTCAAGGTTTGGAAGGTAAACAAGAAATCCATAGTTTACTTCATTATCGTACAGTCGAAACTCGACAAGTTGAATAGCAAGGGTAGACATAAGACTTTTGAGTTATAGAGGTTTCGTCGTACCGAGTTTTCTAGTGAAAAGGTTTAAATAACGGCCATTAGACTTACAGAGGTTTTGAAAAAATATTGACTTATACATAAATATGAATTTCGAATTACATAGGTTGACTTTTTTCCGAGTATTTGTATTTCCAATTATAGATGCTTTTACAACGAAGCGGAAAAGGCTGAAGAAATTTTACGAGTTACAGAGGTTTTTAAACTATCAAGGTTCCTCTGTATTCATAACTATCGATGCCTATTATAAAAGCATTATTTTAGTAAATTACAGTACATAATGAGAAATCTTGATGAAACGTCAAAAAGAAAATTCGGGAATCACGAGAATTCAGTTAATTACCGCGCAGAGATCGACGGACACCAAAGTGTCTGGATGGTGAATCTCCAGACGAAAGGTTGACTCATTCTGTCGATGTTGTACAGGATTCTCCGCAGGCGTCCGGGAGCCGGCAAGTTCTAAGCGATCCGCAGCCAGAATCCAGATCGAAGTCGAGCGAGCTTCACTGTCAATCCGGTAATTAGTTTGCATGCCACGTTTTTGGACCACGCCGATCGAATTCGTACGCGTAAGAGCCACAGCAGCGCACGCGGCCGCTGATCTTGCGAATTCATAATAGATTCCGGATTCGGCACACGTACACGCGCTCACGTAAGCCATGACAAAATTATGTACTACAACGGGTGCTTTCCACCGCGCGTTTTAAAGTGTCGTAGACGGGAAGGAAATTACTAGAAGTGTGCGAGAACCCGAAAACATCGGAAACCCGATGAACGAGTCGCATCGGGTCGAGTCGAGTTCTTGAAAGAATCGGATTTAAGTGAAGCTAAGTTTGTAAGTTTAAGTAAAAATAAGTAATAGTGAACAGAATAAAGTAGAATAAAATGTTATTTGGTTATTATTTTGACTTCATATTCTATCGTTCGTAATCTCAACAATTTCAAGAACCTAACCCGATGTTTTCGGATACTTGCACACCTTTAGAAATTATCCATCACGAAGTTGATGGCGCGGCTTTGCCCACGGGGAAATTTCCAGCGAGCCCACTGTTTGTAAACAACCACCAGCACCGGCTAATTTGTTTGCAATTAATAAGCGAAGACCACTGTACTACTATCTACAAATTTTTCAATATTGCCATTTGTTATTCCGATGAATCATGCACCGGATCTTTCCGGGATACTCGATGGTAGATAAAAGTATACAAGTGCTTTATGGCTTTCAACGAGCGAGGTATTAATGTCAACCGTTTCAGCGCCGGGAAGCGTAACCGCTCTTGTGTTGTGCCAAAAATGAAGGCACGATCATGTGTTTGCTTGTTAGTGTAATATTTGCATTCGTTGCGAGCAGTTGTGTTCTTGTCAGTTGTTTGTTTTAATAATAAGAAAATTACAAATATTCTTCTTGGTAATAACTACTTGTTACGCAATTTATAGGAAATTCAAGTGAATCGTTGCCGTTTTTATAAAATTCTGGAACGACAAAAGATACGCATTTTCACGAAATCCTCAGCGTACGCAATGATCTTTATTATACAGCCTTATGATATCTTATTATAATCTTCACTGAAGTAATAAATATTATTGTAGACGTTTTTCTAACTTGTATGGAATTATTTTTAAACGCCTATGGCAATGTATATTAAATTTGGATCAATAAAGTCTTCTGATCATAGAGAGAAGACGATCATAAGAACAAGAAGAAGGTACATCGATGATACGTCATGGGCACGTGATACTTCTGTTAACCGATAATCATTCTTAACACGTAATATAGGTCTACAGTAGTTTCGAAACGAGAAGCAATAACCAACGAAACGAAATCGTTTCGGATCGCTTCGTATTCACGGTGCTTGGGCGCCATCTCATAAACGTGTGCCCGCATATAAAGACGGATGAAAGACGCGAGCAAAGGCCAGTCAAATTTTTCGGCGTGAAGTTAACGGTCTTGGTCAGCAAGGATGATAAAAACGGTAACGAGACACTTGGTTCTATGAACGTGGTATTATTATTAATTTAATGTAAACGTTTTTAATTACTGTCCCGGCACATGCATACGTTTCTGCCTTGTTTGTTGGAGCGCGCAAAATTTCAGTTTAAATAATCATCTATCGTTAAATATTCATGGAACGTCCACTAATAATATTCAGTTAATTAACTTGGTCGGTGATGCTTTCGTTACTTCTGATACGGAGTAGATCAAAGTCGGTAAAATTGTTCGTGTGTAAATTTAGTTTATATTCATTATTGCAAAAACATAAGAATATTGTTCATTTTATGTTACTTTACGTACAAAGTCTCTCATTAACACGGAAATTATATGATAAATTCTCCGAAAGCAGCAACTCTGGTCTTTAATTAAATGCTCCTCGTTACGTACCTCAAGTAACATTCGCTACAACGGAGACACAATGCTGTAAATTATCTAGTAACTAATTCCTAAGAAGTGAAATATTCAGTTACTCCTTATTGAAACTCATCGTCGCTTAAAGTACAGTTGAATAATCGTATATTCCCAACCACAATAGTATTTCTGAAATAAAAATCTCAACCGTCTCAGATTGACAGGAAAGAAATTTCATTTATAAAAGTACAATTTCTTTTTCCTTCGGTGCATAAAATCAAACACGCTTTAAATCGAGTGCAAAAAGATTCGTATACGATCTCAGTAATTCACAGAATCAAAAGAAAACTCCTTTTCGACGTTGGAAATTTCGAAAATAGAAATACATGTCAAAGTTTTTATTTATCTAACAACATCGAAATCCCAAAAATGTCCTTCGCTGCGAATTAGGTAGCAGCACCGGCGGCAACGTCGAGAAAAGCGCGGGACAGCTAAGCCATTAATTGCTTTTCCATTTTCCAGTTGACCCTCGTGCTCCTCTGTATTGGACTGGCAACATCAGATTTATCGCCATATAAACCAAGGGGATGGCGTCCTAATGGTCAACGCTTTAATCCCGCCAACAATCGATTGCATGCGTATTACGGGCCCCCCGGATTACCAGC